TTCTGTCGACTTTGTGCGGAACGCGTAGAGGTAGCAGACCCACCATGGTATTAGGCCTACTCACATGGTTGGAAAATCGGTTAGCTGCTGGAATAACGAATTTAGAAAGAGGTACCGATCTTGTCCTATTTTGCCTCTTGTTGGAATAGGGTTCAGTCACGACTTACATTGTTTGATGACTATACCCCTGGGCCCTGAAGAACGAGCAGCCATGACAAACGGCATGAATTACTACTTCTTCTGAGTGAGCAGGATTAATTAGGCAAGGTTAGACAGGTTACTATTTCAGCACTCATAGTGGTGTTTGTTAGATACCTCGAGGGATCCGGACGGTGACTGTTTTGGTCCGAAGTGCCTGCTCCTTAACAAATACGGTAGCGTTTCCAGTTCCCGTCTTTGGCTATGATATGATTTCCGGATTCTCCTTCTCATACATACCTAAGGAAAGGCCCCACGTACCCAAGGGAAGTACGATATGTACCTATTTAAATATAGAAGATACCACCACGAGATCCACCTCCCACATTTCCACTCTTTGTATAGGGATAACGTGCGTATAGACGCTAAAAACTTGTTGAACTATCCCACAACTACTCGTGCCTTTTACTTCTGTTTACGTATTTGTACTGAGTAGGTCTCGCTACCAAAAATACGTAGCTTGTTTCTTTCCCAACAATATGAGCCATACTGTTACCACATGTGCTCAAAGGTGTCGTACGTTTTAAATGCTCAAGAGAAATGAGGGATATAATGGGAACGACCGTTGTAATTCACTTGGTCTTTAGTTTCTCGTGTGAATGGTTTCCTAGGAGAGTTCTGCGAAGAATTTATCCTATGGTAAATGTTTCATAAAAGACAAATGTCACTTGAAATCAAAAATAATTGCAGTCATTATAGGCGGATTCATTAGAAGTAGTCTAAAACTTTTCCGGGTATTTTAAAAAGATCATTTCCAAACGGAAAGCATCCGTAATGGGAAATTCGATGAGCAAAGATCGCCTAATATTTCAGATTCACTATCGAACATCTCCGATATTCTACAACGATACCGTTGATCCAAACCTTCCCTACTTTTGCCCGAACGGAAAACCTCGTGCGGACTGGTTGGTGGATCTGATTTCTTTTTTGATTTTGCCTCAGATTTCTGGGCGGCATGTATTGTGTGAGGGTTAGAATTGCGAATCATGTGAAGGCCAGGTGCTAAAAAAAGGCAAGAAATGTGAGCAGAGCTAGAATTTCGCGTTTACAGCATTTAAAA